TTTTTTGCTTTTTGAATAAAAAAAATGATTCTTCGCACTTTTCAACATAAAAAAGCTCTCCTGTGAGTTTACGTTATAGTTAGCCGTTTTTGCGATATTTCGATTTTTAAGGTTCCATGCATTTTTAATTATTTATGGGAAAATAATATTTTTTTTACATTTTCGATTTGGGCATTACAAGTAATTAAGATGATCGTTTAGATTGTGTTTTTAGACACAGCAATAATTCCTAACTCCAAATAAACACGAAAAAACAGAATATTAATTTGTTTAATTTTCCAATATTATTTTTAACAAATTAAATTAATTATTTACAACTAAAATGCTATTGGATAGTTAGGACAAACATACAAAATCTAAAAAGTAGTTGCTCGAAATGTAAACCCAATTGTTCAATACACAATTCACATCTACGAATGATCGAACGTGGTATAGCATTATTCAAATAAGGCCTTATTTCATCACATGCATTCCTGATTCTGTCTATTAGCATATCTCTTGTGGTTACGGGAGTCTGGTACACTTTTTCTTTTAGAAATCCCCCCAGAAAAAAATCTAATGGATTTAGGTCAGGGGATCGTGGAGGCCAGACGACTGGTCCTCCACAGCCGATCCATCTTTCTGGATAATTTTCGTCCAGCCAGTTTCTAACTATTCTCGAATAATGAGCTGGACAACCATCAAGCTGGAACCAGGCCAATCTTCTTAAATCTAACATAACATCATCCCACATATTTGCATGTTCAGCCTTTAAAAATTCCAAGAAGGTCGCAGCATTTAACCTTGCAGGCAAAAGGTATGGTCCAAATAGTCGATTACGGTAGATACCAATCCACACGTTCACATTAAATTCATGCTGAAAATTTCTTTCCCGAACTGCATCCGGATTTCCAAGCGACCAAATATGTTAAGAAAATTTACCACTCCACGTCTAGTGAAGCATGACTCATCGGTCCATAAAACGTTACTTAAAAACTCCCTATTATTATCAGTTCTATCAAGAATCCACTGACAAAATGTTCTCCGTCCCCTGGCTGTAGTCCTTGCACAGGTTGCAAAGGGTAAGGACGTCTATGGTCATTTCTAAGAACACGGCGAACATGGCTTGCTGAAATTCCCAAGGCACCAGAAACTCTCCTAACACTTGTGGTCGGATCTCTATCAAACTCACGCAGAATCATACGGGTAAATCTGCGCTGACGAACATTTATGTTTTGATCCCTTTGCAGATTTCCAAATCCATTTTCAATTATTTGGCGATGCACTCTTACAAATACTGAGCGAGTTGGATGTCGTATGTTTGGAAATCTTCGTGCGTATTCTCTGGCTGCTTCTGCTGCGTTTCCACTTACAAAGCCATACACAAAATGAATATCCGCTAACTCTTGATTGGAGAATAAAAATGGCATTTTTATAAAACTTACAAAAAAAAACATGTAAAATAAACTAAATTTCGTGCATTCACAATTGCAAAAAAACGTTTCAGGTTTCAACAGACAACAAAACTAACTGTCAACTAATTGACGTTTAACCTTATTCTGCTTTCAATTTCAAAAATATTTGCAGGCTCAGCCTACTTCTAAAAATTATCGAGATACTGACTTTTTAACGTTATTTTATCATAAATAATTAAAAATGCATCGAACCTTAAAAATCGAAATATCTCAAAAACGGCTAACTATAACGAAAACTCACAGGAGAGCTTTTTTATGTTGAAAAGGGCGAAGAATCAGTTTTTTTATTCAAAAAACAAAAAATTGCACTAAGAAAAAATTTTCGCTCATTTTAATACACTACAGGCCCAGTATACAGCGCCCTCTAGCGGCTACAGTAAAACTATGCCCATGGTTCGTTTTGCCGTACCAAAAAAAACCCTTGTATACCAATTTTCACTGTTATACATCAAATATTGTTCGAAATATTTAAAAAAAAGCTATTTTAGAAAGTAAATTTAAACACCCTGTATTTCGGAAGCCACGCATTTTTCGACCCACGTTTATATAGACTTTACGCATTAATTTTAAAAGTTCTATCGAATCTTAACGTTATGCAACAATAAACTGAAACACCCTGTATAACTATTTTATGCGGCATATTTGCTCGGTAGTCAAAATAGTTGTGTAGTAACATTTATAAAACAAACCCGTGCCTTGCTGTTTCGGTGTGCAAAATTAGTAATTTAGCAAAGAAATCGCTTCCGTTGGTATCGTTATTTGAGGCATCTAGCACTTAGATATCGATCTCCAGAAATTCCCGCACCCTCCACAAACATTGGAGGATGTACGAAACCAAATTCAGATGGCCTGGAATACAATACAACAAAGACATCAATCTCTTAATCCAATCAATGCAGCGAAAAAGTATGCTCAAAATTACAGCACTTCTAGTCGGCGTTGCATTTTCTATGTCATTTAGTAATTAAACAATGCAAATAATTATAAGGAATTTTTGCCATTAAATCTAGCAACATTACTCTAGTACAGTAGAACTCGAAAGAATACGAAATCCAGTTTATCCAAAACAGATCGCATACAATAATTTCTCCGTTTTAACCGCAGTTGTTCGCATGATCCGAAATAGCCGACGGTAGTTCCCCTTTCAGCGTTTGCGCATTAGATTCGCTGCCGGTGATTGCCACAGCGCGTTTGCGGAATTCACTGGTATGTGTGGGTGTATGTTTGTTTCAGCGAGGTTCATAATCGCTTAGATGGAGCGGCATAGAAATAAACGTAAACGCGTTGTTATTACCATAGAACAGAGACTTGCGGCGATCAGACGTTTAGATAGAGGTGATTTGCTTAAAAACGTGGCAAGTGATTTGGGTGTGGGCGTGGGTACCATTTCAGATTGGAAAAAACAACCCGAGAGTATTGAAAAGTGGTCTAGTGTTCTGACATCAGCGCAGACGTCACAAAAAGTTCGTTATATCTGTGGTTTACTCGGAATCGAGAACGTGGAATAGCAATTTCCGGACCAATTCTAAAGCAAAAGGCAGTCAACTTAAGTGATTGCTAGTTATAGATGCGCCTGATAACTTAGCAGCCTGTGATGGTTAGCTGCATAGATGGAAAAACGACACGGTATACGAGAATTAAAAGATTACGGAGAAAAGTTATCTGCCGATGAGTTAAAATATGGAGAACATTTTAAAGAATTAATGAAGCAGTATGGTTTAAGTCCAGACCAAATTTACAACTGCGACAAAACGGGCCTAAACTATAAGCTTAGCTTCAAAACAAGAATCTGGAGCTCCTGGTTACAGACGCATTAAAAAACGTGTAACTATCCTTGCTTGTAGAAATGCTTCCGGTACATAAAAAGTTCCTTTGTTGTTAATCGGAAAATCAGCTAAACCAAGAGCAGTTAAACACGATGGTCCCATCGCTCTCCCAGTGTGGTGTAAAAATCAAAAAAATGCCTGGATAGATGCTGATCTATTTAAGTTTTACATAACCTTATATAGGTATATACTCACTTAACACACGCATTTACTTGTTTCAATAAAAAGCATTGTGAGTCTAAATATTTATTTCCGAAATTTCGATTATCCGAAAGCACTTGGGTTCACATTTTTCCGCGGTTCTACTGTACTAAATTCGACGAAATTAACATGATAATAAGAATATTAAAAGAATATGAAACGTTTTTCAGCGAGTGATTCTACTTTCCATAGTCTGTATACTTCCGTTCGCGACATGACGCAGAAAATTACCAAAGGGAATGGCCTACTATGTTATTGATATTTCCATTCAAATCGGTGTTTACGGTTTTAATGGAATAATAAAAGCGTATGAATTTTAAACTGTGTTCTTCATATAAAGCCGAGTTTAGAGCCTGCAATATTTTGCAACATGTATCTGTCTTAATACTCTTTTCTATTACCATATTCATTATAGTAGAGCTTTAGTCTTGTAGTTGCTAGGATCCAGGCTTAACATGGTCGATTTTTGAGACCGGTATTAGGAGAGAGGTTTTAATTCGCTACAGGAATACGATTTTTTACGTAATAACACCACAGAAGCAATATTAACATGACCAGAAAATTATAGTCGATGCCAAATTCGATTCGGCGAGATCATTAAAAAGTCAAGTGGCAATGAAGAATTACCCAGAACATACCAATGTCGAAGTTTCTATTAATAACTCATTCTACACCAAGTCATTCATTGTTTTAAATTCCTAGAATAACAGTAAAATTACAATTACTGATAAAATGGTTTGTTAAACACGTGTGGTATATCACCGGTTGTACCTAAAAATAAATTATATTAGCCGTAAAAATATGCATTCACTAATAATTCAACAGACTGCCTCGTCATTCATATCGAACAAAAAGAAACTACGAATCCTACTAGCCACTAGATTACAGATTAAAGGTTTGAACAAATATGATATACAGGGTGTTTCACAACTTATCCGACAAATTTTAACCACATATATACTAAGTGACATATAAATCCGAACACCCAGTTTAAATGGTTTTATTTTAATAAAATTTTGTATAAGTACTTAATGAAGCATAATAAGTAAATGATAAAAATTTCAAAATGATTGCACTGCTTTAAAGCCCTTTGACCTTTAATAATGTGTGGATGCACCCTGATCTGCTACGCATTCTCCAACGCGCCTAGGCATGCTTCTGATCAGGTGGTCAATGTCCTCCTGTGGTATCTCATTCCAGGCAACCACGAACTCCTCTCGAAGTGCTTCTAGAATCTGAGGAGGACGTTGCAAATTGAGCAATCTCCTACCCATCATATCCCACACGTGCTCAATTGGGGATAAGTCGGGAGATCTTGGTGGCCATGGTAACAATGTGACATCATTATGTTGAAAGAAGTCTATTGTGACTCTTGCAACATGTGGTCGGGCATTATCTTGTTGGAAAGTTGGATCTGCCAGGGTGTCAAGATAGGGTAAAAGATGGGGTTCTAGAACTTCGTGGATATAACGCTGCGCGTTCATGTTACCTCTGATGAAGATTAAAGGTGACCTGGAACCATAACTCCAACAGTGTGATGAACATGTCTTTCAACAAAAAACTGTCGATTCCTCCTTTCACCACGTCGCCTTCTAACCCTGGCACGACCATCGTGCATGCCTAAACAATTTAAATCAGTTATATATTGGCCACCCCGTATAACACCCACTTCAACTGACATTGTCACCGATACCATTTATACGCTAAAACTGCATCTGTCCGATCAAAAGTTCCGAACGAATATTTGAGAAAATGCATTCGTGTAGCCTGAAGCAAGATCGCCCAGTCTACAAACAGTTCAGCAAGATGCCAATGAGATGGTTCAACTTCATCAGTATCTCTAAAGATCACCCGGAATCAAGGAACTTCTTCAGGAGCGACTTGGCCATTCGCCAAGAGAAAGAGAGACACATGCACTCCAAAAGCTATTTCATAGTACATCCTTTCAGTAAGTTCAGGTAACTACAAGTGTATCCCTATACAGGGTGACTTCGAGTCATTTATTTCAACAGTGAGTAGATCTGATCAAAAGAAATGTTTTTTTCCTTTACCATTTTTCTGGTAAAATTAAAGTAACAAAGTTATAGCCCTTTGGAAGTTTGAGTACCGCCCTGTCGCAATAATAATATTATGTGCTCGTGTTTGGCAACAACGGATATAATCCGATTTATCGGTTCATCGCATTGGAAACAAAAAAGCGAAAGAATTTGGAACGATGTTTTTACAATTATTTTATTCAGTCAGTGTCAGTCGGTAACGCGTGAGTGAATAGTGGTGTCTGTTGCGTTGCTCAAACGAAATAAAAAATGGCACATGTTTATGCGGATCGGTTTCCCAATCGAGTGCAACCAACCCCTCGTGCCTTTGTTAATGTAGTACAACGGGCTCGTAAATCAGGTGACTTAAGACCTCACAGGGGACGGCATGCCGGTGCTCCAAGACGTCACGATCAAATGCAGGTCTGCACTGAAATACTTGTCGGGATGATACTTTATAAAACAGATTTTGAATATTTGATAGTAATATTTTTATGTAGAATCAATTTACCTACAAACTTTGTTTTCAGAGCATGGTACGAAATACATCTCCTTGTGCTTTACACCACGCTGATAATATGCAAGCCGATTCTAGTGAGTTTTTCGACGAGTCGGTCCAAGCCGTACTTCAGCAATCTTCCCGATCTTTTTAAAAGTTCGATTTTCTGCATGGATCTTCTATCTATAGTCGATATAGTTATGAACTTCATCACCGGATATCCAATCAGACTCGAGAGAAGAATCGAACTGGATCGTTCAAAAATCGCTAAGTAAGAGAATTTTTAAAACTAACTGGCTGGACAGTTGCTTCGTGTTTCTTGGCTACTCATCAGCACGACCTAGGCTTGAATGAACGAATTAATCATGAAATTAGAGGCAAAGCGGCCACCATAAGGAGCCAGCGCATCAAGCCTCGCCATTCCATCGAAGATGCGCACTTGACTCCAAGTTCCTTAACGTCCTGGGAGTCCAAAGTGATGGAACCTAGTAGAGTCTACCTATAGTAGCTCAGAGCCTCACAGCGACACAGAACGTGCGCCGAGGTCTCTTCCTCCTACCCCACAGTGCTCACAAGAGATCCCCAGCCACCCCATCACGTGCAGTTGCAACCTTAGGTTGGCTCTATCCAAAGATAAGCACAAACGTCCATCCCTAGCGCTGGGCCCTACGATGAGTTCCCGTGTCTGACGGAGATATCCCGAGATGCTTCTCCATTTCTGAGAATTGTCTTGCAATCCACTTTCCCCTAACATGCTCCGGTACTCACACTAACGATACCGGATGCCTTGCTGCTAGAGCCTAGACCAAGATGATGAGTAGCCATGCACAGTATGTTCCTCTCCTAATGAAACATCCTGAATATTCTCCAGGAACTACCTGTTCAGTCCCTACTTCGTATGCGACGTACTTTCATCGTACCCCATGACGCTTCCTTACCTGGCGAACCCAGACTTTTGCTCGGGCCGTTGTCACACGTACAAGGCCATAATCGCTCTCTTTATGTTGTTCAAAATCGCTCGATTAGTCACGGTGGTGAATCTCATGGATAAAGTTAACGATGTAAGTACCTTTTCTATCTCATATAGTTGAACGTGAGAAACAATGGACAATCGTTGGCATGTCCGCAGTAAAGGAACAGGGGCAGAATTAGCAGGATCGGTAACCCGAGCGGCTTGCGTTTCTGCTGATTGGCTTCATCAAGCCTAAATGGATGTGTATCAAAAACATCGAAGTGAATATGTAAATATGCCCATCACACCTGATACGGGTGTAACTTAAAGGCGCATTTGTGGCTTCGGTCAGAAGATCTCGTGTCAACCAACATCACCACCAAAAAGAAAACCAACGCCTTGCTTAATTCGGAACATTCGAGGCAGTATAGGCCAACGGCTTTTGTAAGAGATAAACATGCCATCGCGGCGCAGGATGGAAACATCCAAATGATCGGACCTCAGAATAAACTTTTTTATACTTGAACCACCACGACCTAAGGCTCACGCACTTGTGTGTAGCGTGGGAATACAGAGATATAGGTGGTGTTGTAGTTGTGACCAACATGTTCTTGCTTCTAGCACCTTAACTTGCACCTGAAAGGGCCAATGTTCTTGATAGCTTGCATCACGGTGTCGCTGATCATCACTCATTGGATGGCTTGCATGCACTGGGGCGTGTCAAGGATATTCAGACATTACATCCGTCGGGAAGACATAAATAGTAGCAGAAGTTGGATATACATTACCGGTGCCTATAGAATGCCTTTCAGCAATCAGTACACAAGGGCGTTTCTCAGGAGCAGCGCATGCGTTTTGGGTAATTCTAGGTTATGTTAAAATACGAGGGTTGTCTCAAAAATAAGGTTCCCACATTTTGTTCAGGAACAACGAATTTATTTTTCTACATTGCCGCCATTTGTCGAGGAATTTCTATGGGTAGTAACGTTTGCGCGTGGCTGTCCGGTACTGAGCATCGCCACTAGGCGTTTTGGGATCGGTGGTGAGGGAGCCGACAAACACGGCGGTGTTGCCAGATTTAGCGGAAAAGTTGCAGGATTGGGAACTTTATTTTTGAACTAAGAAGTAAAAAATGCCAACATTTTTTTGTGTCAATGTTCGAGTAGTATGATACTAGTGGTAACATACTGTTTGTATTTTTAGGAGTTTATGTTCCAGTTCACAAATATGGAGAAGAGGAATATGTTATGTTTATCTTCACCTACATCGTTGGAAAAATGTTAATATTTTCAGTATGGGGTAATCTCACTTTCGTATTCATAGATTTAAATGAATTTTACTTATAGAGATTTTTAGATTTCCAATAGAGAATATAAATTTTACAAATGACAAAATATGTATACAGGTTATTAATTTTGAGCCATCCTGAATCTTTGACTGGGCCAGTTACATGATGATATTTCCTAAGATTTCATTTGTTAAACGGCAACAAGAATTTTGAATTTTCTGTAGTTTGTAAGGAAATACGTTATGATTCCATATGGAATTGTGGAACTAATTAATGATCCATATAATCGGCTTTTTGTTTTAAAACTGAGGAAGTATCCATGTTAGTTTTGATGAAATATCATTCATCTTTAAACGTGTGCTGCCTATTTTCAGCTCCAGGCTTGCTTTTAGATGTCCCCCCTTTTCTTTCTTGCAAAAAGTTCACTTGATTTTTTAGGATTGAGTTTCATATTATTAATAGCAGAATAGTTATTAATACTTCCAAGATCAATATTAATGTTAGCCTCAGCCATTTTAAAATCATCGGCATCACTTAAGTTTTCAATGTTGACGACCAAATCGAATGTATATATCAAGAACAAGAGGGGCCCTAGAACTGAATCTTGGGGCACCTCTGAAGGAACTCTCTGTAAATTTGAAATGCTTGTGGCCAGAATCACCTGTCGCTGTCTGTCTTTTGGATATGACATAATTTTTCCACAGCTGTTTTGGCGATATACATTTTGGGAACAAGATCAATGAATATCAGATTCCTAGAGCTGATAAATCAAATACAAGCATACACGAAACTGAGCAACTTCCCTACTGATCTCGAAGACAAGTTACTGAAGTTCTGCTCCGAAAAATTCAATAAGAAGTATTTTCGGGAAGAAAGTATTCTAGGATTTCTATCAGGTAATAAATTCATACCATGCGCTGCAGACAAAATGCTATTGGCAAGACCTATTGAATCTGAAAGTGTTTTCACTCCAGAAAAATTGAAGAACGATGTAAACAGACACTTCTCCAAGAAACTCATCGGCTCTACGCTGCTTTTCAAAGATTTGACCGCGAATGAGGTGGACCAAATTGTGGCTAGACTGACTCCTCAAATTTTTCTGCCCAAGGATGTTATTATCAGGGCCGGTGACGTTCCCAACGCCCTGTATATAATAAGCAGTGGAACAGTAGCGGTGTTTACAAGAAGCGGAAAAGAGGTACTGCTACGAGGTCTGTAAATTAAGTGATGAGACTTTGTTTAAAGTTTTAGAACAATAGAGAAAACTGTTCCACAAAAAAAATTGCTACGATCATCCAAAAAACTCGAGCGAGTTCAAACTTGTAATGAAAGCGGATCACATGTTCCACTGTCTCCCCTGCAAGCTCGACGCCTCCAGTGTTGCCATATCGCTACGTTGACAGTCTCATCACTTAGTTTACAGACCTCGTAGATCAGTAAAAAAAAACAAGGTCAAGTAGTTGGACTCTATTAAGGGTGTCATTTAATGATAAGCCGTAATTAGAACGACGCATTCCCGGTTCGAATTTAGGTAGAAAAGGTCATATAAACATGTGCCCTGAAAAGTTTTCAAAATTTAGACTGTAAAAATTTTATAAAAATTTTGGATTTTTATCGACACCTGATTTTGTTGAATTTTGGCAGTTCAGAGTAATGAGACGCTAAATTAGACTAACTAGAAGCTATACAGGGTGACTTTGAAGTTGAGTCATTAATTTTCAGATACTGGTTGTAGAAGGAAGATAAACCAAAATATGTGTGTAAAAATAAAAAAAAAATAAAAAAAAAATTTACCTTGTTTTATAAAGTATCCTCCCGAGAAGTATTTCAGTGCGGACCTGTATTTGATCGTGAGGTCTTGGAGCACCGGCATGCCGTCCCCTGTGAGGTCTTAAGTCACCTGATTCACGAGCCCGTTGTACTACATTAACAAAGGCACGAGGGGTTGGTTGCACTCGATTGGGAAACCGATCCGCATAAACATGTGCCATTTTTTATTTCGTTTGAGCCACGCAACAGACACCACTATTCACTCACGCGTTACCGACTGACACTGACTGTATACAACTGAATAAAATAATTGTAAAAACATCGTTCCAAATTCTTTCGCTTTTTTGTTTCCGATGCGATGAACCGATAAATCGGATTATATCCGTTGTTGCCAAACACGAGCACATAATATTATTATTGAGACGGGGCGGTACTCAAACTTCTAAAGGGCTATAACTTTGTTACTTTAATTTTACCAGAAAAATGTTAAAGGAAAAAAAACATTTCTTTTGATCAGGTCTACTGTTAAAATAAATGACTCAACTTCGAAGTATATTCCAGTAGCGTCTCGGGGGACAGTCTCGCGAATAATTTTGACAAAAAAATGTATGCTTTTTTTCGGATTAAGCAGCTAATGATCCACCTTTTTCTTGTCTTGGTATCACTTCGTATCTTGTTTAGTTTTCGATGAGAAAAATGAAAACAACTTCATCACATGTCGAAAAATTGTTAAAATCTCCGTTATACTGGCAAGAAATGTAGGCCACTGATTTTTTTTAAAAACTCAATTTTTCGAATTAAGAAGATAGAGATACAACTTCTCTAGGGATACTTAGTAGTTCGTTTTCGAGAAAAGAAAAAATGAAACCAGTTCAAAACATGTCGAAAAACTGGCGTTAATATACTAAGTGACATATAAATCCGAACACCCAGTTTAAATGGTTTTATTTTAATAAAAGTTGGTGAATGTATTTATCTTACTGTAAATAACAAGTGAAAAAAATGTTCAGCCTTATCAGTTGGACATTCCGGTTTTTATACTGCTTTTTTTTAATTCACTAACGCTCTAAAAATGAATATTTCAGCAACAGTAAAGAATCAACGTTGGCGGATTTTGGTTCTAGACATCCTTTACGATCGGTTACGATGCCTAGAGTACGGAGACCTGTACGATTTCGTCAACTTAGTGAGTTTGATAGGGGCCGTATAGTGGGACTTCGGGAAGCTGGACTTTCTTTTCGGGCAATTGCAGTTAGAGTGCAAAGAAGTGTAGACACTGTGGTTAGGTGTTGTCAGGCATGGCTTCGAGAAGGCCGTACGCAAAGAGCAAGGGGCACTCGACGCCGCCGTAGAACAACAGACCGTGAAGATCGCCGCCTAAGATTATTCGCCTTAAGGGACCGTTTCTCCACTACCAGGTCCATTGCAAATGAATGGTTTGCAGAACACGGAAGATCTATTGGCATGCGAAGTGTTTACCGACGAATGAGAAGTTTCGGCTTGTTTTCATACCGGCCACACTGGGTCCTCCCTTTAACTCGAGAACACCGACGTAATCGCCTTGAGTGGTGCAGACAACGGTCACTCTGGGATCAGGAATGGAACAGTATTGTTTTTAGTGACGAGTCTCGATTTTGTTTAGGCATGCACGATGGTCGTGCCAGGGTTAGAAGGCGACGTGGGGAAAGGAGGAATCCACAGTTTTTTGTTGAAAGACATGTTCATCACACTGTTGGAGTTATGGTTTGGGGTGCTATAGCTTATGGTTCCAGGTCACCTTTAATCTTCATCAGAGGTAACATGCACGCACAGCGTTATATCCACGAAGTTCCAGAACCCCATCTTTTACCCTATCTTGACACCCTGGCAGATCCAACTTTCCAACAAGATAATGCCCGACCACATATTGCAAGAGTCACAATAGACTTCTTTCAACATAATGATGTCACATTGTTACCATGGCCACCAAGATCTCCCGACTTATCCCCAATTGAGCACGTGTGGGCTATGATGGGTAGGAGATTGCTCAATTTGCAACGTCCTCTTCAGACTCTAGAAGCACTTCGAGAGGAGTTGGTGGTTGCCTGGAATGAGATACCACAGGAGGACATTGACCACCTGATCAGAAGCATGCCTAGGCGCGTTGGAGAATGCATAGCATATCAGGGTGCATCCACACATTATTAAAGATCAAAGGGCTTTAAAGCAGTGCAATCATTTTTATCATTTACTTATTATGCTCCATTAAGTACTTATACAAAATTTTATTAAAATAAAACCATTTAAACTGGGTGTTCGGATTTATATGTCACTTAGTATATTTTATTGGATTTCATCCAAGCGGTGCTTTTTGAGTTATAGAGGGGCCAAGAACTGAAATTGGTATCATCATCAACAGGTATTTCATCTACAAGACGGCGACGTGTTCGGCGAGGTTTCGCTGGTGCTGAAAACACAAACGATGACAACAACGATAGCCTTAGAAACCACGCAGGTCTACAGGCTAAACAAAAAGGACTATATGACTTACATGGCTAAGAACAAACTAGTTACGTCAAAGTTGAAGCACTGGGCCACTACAAGAGCTAAGTAAGTAGTAGTAGTAGTAGTAGAAAGATTTATTTAGCACATTTGGCTACATAAACAGAATAATTGTAAACAACTTAGAACTAGTAAATTCAAGCCATATGGTGTATGATGTAAATGCTGGGCAACCTATAATTATTGTAGATTTAACAAGTGATTTCTCAATTTTACTTTAAATTTCGTCAAAGTTTTCTGGTCTTTTATCTCCGAGTATAATTTATTATATTCAATCAACCCTTGATGGAATACAGATTTGTAGCATATGTTATACTTTTTGGTCATTAAATGGAAGTCATCTTTATTTCTGGTATCATGTAAATGATGGTCGACATTTGATGATGTTAAATTAGTTAGACTTGATGGAAATATATTATTTTTTACTTTATAAATGAATATCATTGCAAGATATTTGATAAAATTTTTTACATTGAGCCATGTTAATTTGCTAAGCATTTGCCTAATTGGAGTATATTTATCTTTATTTAGTATTATTCTCATGCACTTATTTTGTAAAATTTGCAGTCTTTCAAAAATGGAATTATTTGCTAAATATAGAATAGTCGAACAGTACAAGAAATTTTGAAGAATGATGGTATTATAGATAATTTTTCTGCTATATGAACTCAGACATCCAGAAACTCTCGATAAATATCCCACTTTACTACTAATCTTATTTATAACTTTTTCATAATGAATATCAAAAATTAATCGAGAGTCAACAAAAACCCCCAGGTATTTAAAATTTTCTACGAATTCAATATCTTCACCATCAATATTCAGTTGAACATTTGTGCATTGTTTTTTTCCGATTAACAAGGCTTTCGTTTTACTTGTATTTAATTTTAGTCTGTTAGATGCTAACCATTTTGAGACAAGCTTCAAGTCTTCATTTATATAAGAGATATCAGACTGAATATTTTTAGTACTTATATAAATCATAGTGTCATCGGCGAAAATCTGAATTTTGCATTTTGTGACTATGGCAGGTAAATCATTTATGTATAAAATAAAAAGAAGTGGTCCCAGGATACTGCCCTGTGGAACACCCAATGTATTTTCAATTTTTGATGAAATAGTGTCATTAACTTTTGTAACTTTCTTCTATAAACTGCATTAATTGGTCATGCACTATGGACTCTAATAATTTTTCAATGTCTGGTAACACATTTACTGGTCTCATATCGCTGCATCTTTTAGAATTATTTATTTTGGGAACTGGTGTTATTGTAGAGCATTTCAAATTTTCAGGAAAAGAACTGCTTCTCAGTGGACAATTGATCCAATTTAATACAGGATATCCCAAAATTTCTAAACAGTTTTTCAGCACGTTTTTAGTAGTGATTTCGGCACAGTTGTTATTTGATTTTAAACTGTTTACTTTTTTCTTAGATAATTCAATGATACGCTGTGAAATTTTGAAAGTGTATGCATCGCACATATTGATCTGCGTCCCACAATACCAACGCGGGTGTTCCCCAGGGATCGGTCTTGGCCGCAACACTGTTTCTATCATATCAACGACCTCCTCTTCTACAAGGTCAATCAAAACCACAGGTTTTCCAATGACAGCACTCAGAAGGCTACAATCTTTTTTCTCTCTGAAACATCCTTTCAAAGTTCAAATCTTTCTTTACCAAACCAAAGTATTTTAGGCTTAGTTGATTTTAATGCAACGTTTGGTAGCCTATTATTTGGCGAAGTACTGATTTTCGCAGACATGTACGAGGGTAATCTCAAAAATAGGGTTCCCATCGCTGCATCTCTGTCGCGCGTGGTACTAGGCCAAATCTGGGAACAACGCTACGTGATAAGACGTCTTATTTCAGGAACATTGATAAACTGGAGGAACAATACAAGAAGGAGATGTTCGAAGAAATGTACCGCAGACCCAGCAAGATATCCATGCTGGCCTCATCTCCTCCAACAGCCAAGAAGTGAATTCGAAATATTATTGTTTTTTTTTATTGTATTTGAATGAAAATTGTATTTCTGGATAATAAAGGAATCTACAAAGAAAAAGTTACATTTCTCCCCATCGATAGTGATAACAAAAAAAAAATACGATATAAGAAATGGCGTCAGGTAGATTGACTCTACACTTCGTAAGCCTTCGTTGGGGATTTTAAAGAAAAGTCAAATCGTTTCAAAATGGGAAATCGAATCATGATTGGGTAGATTCACTTAGGTACGATGAATCGTCGATCTCTGCATATCAAATTATACAGGGTGTTTTCAAAGTTGAGTGAAAAATAGCTAAATAAAAGTAAATTTAAAAAAATAATGTTATTTCACATATTTTATGATATTTTCGACCACTGTCGTGTAAAATCCTAACGTTTTTTTGTTTACTACTCTAATCGTTTATCTAAGTTTGTCAAACTTTGTTGGCTTCCAGAACGAGTCTTTGGTTCGATCAGTTGTGTCATTCTTTTGATAGTGTCTGATTATTTTGTGCGAAGAATGGCCCATCTTTACGAAAACAATGAACTAGTGGATACAATACTAACAAGCGAACAGTGCCAACAAACTGCAGTCGCAGCATGCAGGTTAGATGCGGAAAGGTTCCTTTAATAGAGAGAAGAAATTTAGTTATTAGACTTTGTGGCACTGGATATTGAAAAGAACGACGAGGAGGTCACTTTGGAAGACCTGCTCAACCTGAAATGTTACTAATTGAGGAAGATATTTAAAATGGTCGAAAACAACGGGTACTAGAGCCATAGCATCTCAATTTGAAGTATCTTATAGTAAAATATGGAAGACAATACGACAAGAACATTATCATCCTTATCATTGTCAACTATGAGCGCAGGCTTGACTAACATTTAGAAAACAAAAGTTTACAATAACACTTCCCCAAAAACGTATTGGGATATTAGATATGTTATCACCATCAAATGAAAAATAAGATATCCAAATCATCCGACCATTTTAAAAGAGGATATCTCCATTCTCCCATAATCTATAGGGTGCGCCATCTATTACTTTTTTTCTATTTGAAAAATCAACACGCTTTTTACGAGGTAAAATCGATTTTTTTTATTGATAAATGAAGGTTGGTTTATGCCATTTATGTATGAAAAATAACATCAGTCATGTGACCACCGCGGCTTCGTTTACAGGCCAACATCCGAAAATCAAAATTTTCAATGACTTTTCCCAGAATAATCGGGTCTATGGCCGCAATTTCAGTCCGAATATTGCGCTTTAGGTCTTGAATTGTCCGGGTACCATTCGCATATACTTTTCCTTTCACAAATCCCCAAAGAAAATAGTCAAGAGGTGTTAAATCGCACGATCTCGGGGGCCAACTGATGATTGGCGAGATGTGTGAGCCGTTGCTCCGTCTTGATGCAACCAAAGATCGTCGGCACCAGTACGATCCAATTGTGGCCACAAAAAGTCTGTTAACATGCCGCGATAACGTTCTCCGTTGACGGTAATGGCCTTGTCTTCGGCATCTCCAAAGAAGAACGATCCAACGATGCCACCAGCTCATAATCCGCACCAAACAGTCACTTTTTCAGGATGGAGAGGTTGTTCATGATATTGGTATGGATTTTAACATAAACTTATAGTTAAAAAAAAGTAATAGATAACGCACCCAGTAGTAGTAGATACGCTGCCGGTTTCAACTCCTCCGTACTGATTAAAATCATTGTTAGATAAAACATTGCGATGACCTTACTTTTCCTACTGTATACGAACCAGAACCAGCTTGTCATAGCTGACTCAGTCACTAAGAAAACAAACCTCACAAAATCCACAACCAAACAGTTTAGAACAAATTAAAAAGGTTGATCAATGGCTGACTGGAAGATCCCAAAACATCACTGCGTTATCCACACCGCGGACGATGATGACCTCTTCGGCGACCGCGTTTATATGAACTGCTGGGAACGATTGAGGGCTAAGTGGATGAGCCTCATAATCGTCGCGGAAAGCCCACTCTCCGACAAGGTTTTTAAAAGCAAGGCCACTTTGAGGCGGGAGAGGATCAAGCAGTTGGAGTCCGATCATCCGTATGTCATACATCCGTTGAGCAAATTTAGGTAAACGCTCATGACATTATTTTTGTGTACATGTTTGACACGAATCACGTTCTGGATGATAAATGATCTTATATTTTCTATTCCAGGGCGTGGTATGGAGTATATCAACTCCTCTTATATCTGTGCCTGATCTTGAGCAACACGATAGATGGAGCCTTCTCCCACCGACTGTACCACAAAAAATTGTCGTCGGTGAAAATTGCGATGATTCTGGAGGTTCTAGCCTTGATAGACATGATCATGATATTTAACACTGGATACATTATCGCGGACAAGAATACCGTTGAGATGAGGCCTAGGAGAATCGCTAAGTTAATATTTGTTCAGCGAAAGTAGTTTTATGATATCATAAATCTGTCATCGTGGTAACCTTGACTAGTGCATATTTAAAAATGATTTTAACATATCAAGGTTGCCACTAAAATAAATTGTTTGCCCATAAAACTACTTTCCATTTTCGTTGGGACGTCCTGTATATATACTAAGTGACATATAAATCCGAACACCCAGTTTAAGAGGTGTTATTTTAATAAAAGTTGGTGAATGTATTTATCTTACTGTAAATAACAAGTGAAAAAAATTTCAGCCTTATCAGTTGGACATTCCGGTTATTATACTGCTTTTTTTTAATTCACTAACGCTCTAAAAATGAAGATTTCAGCCGCAGTAAAGAATCAACGTTGGCGGATTTTGGTTCCTGACATCCTTTACGATCGGTTACGATGCCTAGAGTACGGAGACCTGTACGATTTCGTCAACTTAGTGAGTTTGATAGCGGCCGTATAGTGGGACTTCGGGAAGCTGGACTTTCTTTTCGGGCAATTGCAGTTAGAGTGCAAAGAAGTGTAGACACTGTGGTTAGGTGTTGTCAGGCATGGCTTCGAGAAGGCCGTACGCAAAGAGCAAGGGGCACTGGACGCCGCCGTAGAACAACAGACGGTGAAGATCGCCGCCTAAGATTATTGGCCTTAAGGGACCGTTTCTCCACTACCAGGTCCATTGCAAATGAATGGTTTGCAGAACACGGAAGACCTATTGGCATGCGAAGTGTTTACCGAAGAATGAGAAGTTTTGGCTTGTTTTCATACCGGCCACACTGGCTCCTCCCTTTAACTCGAGAACACCGACGAAATCGCCTTGAGTGGTGCAGACAACGGTCACTCTGGGATCAGGAATGGAACAGTATTGTCTTTAGTGACGAGTCTCGATTTTGTTTAGGCATGCACGATGGTCGTGCCAGGGTTAGAAGGCGACGTGGTGAAAGGAGGAATCCACATTTTTTTGTTGAAAGACATGTTCATCACACTGTTGGAGTTATGGTTTGGGGTGCTATAGCTTATGGTTCCAGGTCACCTTTAATCTTCATCAGAGGTAACATGAACGCACAGCGTTATATCCACGAAGTTCTAGAACCCCATCTTTTACCCTATCTTGACACCCTGGCAGATCCAACTTTCCAACAAGATAATGCCCGACCACATGTTGCAAGAGTCACAATAGACTTCTTTCAACATAATGATGTCACATTGTTACCATGGCCAACAAGATCTCCCGACTTATCCCCAATTGAGCACGTGTGGGATATGATGGGTAGGAGATTGCTCAATTTGCAACGTCCTCCTCAGACTCTAGAAGCACTTCGAGAGGAGTTGGTGGTTGCCTGGAATGAAATACCACAGGAGGACATTGACCACCTGATCAGAAGCATGCCTAGGCGCGTTGGAGAATGCGTAGCACATCAGGGTGCATCCACACATTATTAAAGGTCAAAGGGCTTTAAAGCAGTGCAATCATTTTGAAATTTTTATCATTCACTTATTATACTTATACAAAATTTTATTAAAATATAACCATTTAAACTGGGTGTTCGGATTTATATGTCACTTAGTATAATTTTGGGATTCCCGTCGTTGATTGATCTTACAGTGTCGTTGTTACTTTCTATCAAATCGGTATTAATTCGATCTGCTATTATTTTTTCATTTTAGATAATGCATTGAATTTGTTCTTATGTTTTTCAATGTTTTCCATATTTGTTTAATATTATTTTTACTGTCGTCAATTTTGGTATTGCGATATTTCACTTTTCATCTGGTAAGAACATTGGTTTCTTTTACTACCAGTAACCATAAACCTTTTATAATTATAGTCTCGTTTCAATTCAGAATCCTTGATTGTCTGTGAGAACCAAGGTGTTGGATTTTTTTCTTTTATAAATTGTTGTCTTTCATGCAAACTTCAACATTACTCAATAGGCTAGTATAGCAGCTATCAACGTTGATAAACATTTCAGTCATCTTGCAGTCAAAGAGCATCTCCTAAGTTTACATAGTTGATATTAGTAATTTCGTCCACTGTGTTAGCATCAAATACACTTTCAACTTAAAGCATATCCATCAATGATCGCTGATTTTAGGAGTATTTATAACTTTTGCAATTAAATTTTGTTCATTTGTTTTTATCAAATCTACATTTATTGTTGATTGGTTTGTAATTCTAGTGTGATCATAGACTTTTTCCCATAGACGGTACAAACACTAGCATTATTTACTTTCGCATTATTTTCTGATTGATCAAACAGACCAAAATGACAATCACAAATAATTAATCCTTACTAAATTATTTTCAGGCACTATGTACGTAGTCCCTACTTCCTCTGCGACCTAGCATCGTCGATTCCAAAAAATATTCCCTATCTTTTCGTGCGAGATGAATACCAACTGTATCCGGATTGGGTCCTAGGGATATTTTGCCTGCTCTTGTTTTCAAGGATGATCAGAATCGTAACCTTCATTCAGCTACTGTACAGGAGCGCAGAGGTAAGAGCATACGAGCTTAATTCCTAAAGTAAGTTCTAAGTACAAAAACAATTTATTTCCAATAATTGAAATGTATTCTAGATGTGAGAAAAATTAAAATCAAGTATACTAAGTGACATATAAATCCGAACACCCAGTTTAAATGGTTTTATTTTAATAAAATTTTGTATAAGCCCTTTGACCTTTAATAATGTGTGGATGCACCCTGATGTGCTACGCATTCTCCAACGCGCCTAGACATGCTTCTGATCAGGTGGTCAATGTCCTCCTGTGGTATCTCATTCCAGGCAACCACCAACTCCTCTCGAAGTGCTTCTAGAGTCTGAGGAGGACGTTGCAAATTGAGCAATCTCCTACCCATCATATCCCACACGTGCTCAATTGGAGATAAGTCGGGAGATCTTGGTGGCCATGGTAACAATGTGACATCATTATGTTGAAAGAAGTCTATTGTGACTCTTGCAACATGTGGTCGGGCATTATCTTGTTGGAAAGTTGGATCTGCCAGGGTGTCAAGATAGGGTAAAAGATGGGGTTCTAGAACTTCGTGGATATAACGCTGCGCGTTCATGTTACCTCTGATGAAGATTAAAGGTGACCTGGAACCATAAGCTATAGCACCCCAAACCATAACTCCAACAGTGTGATGAACATGTCTTTCAACAAAAAACTGTGGATTCCTCCTTTCACCACGTCGCCTTCTAACCCTGGCACGACCATCGTGCATGCCTAAACAAAATCGAGACTCGTCACTAAAGACAATACTGTTCCATTCCTGATCCCAGAGTGACCGTTGTCTGCACCACTCAAGGCGATTACGTCGGTGTTCTCGAGTTAAAGGGAGGACCCAGTGTGGCCGGTATGAAAACAAGCCAAAACTTCTCATTCGTCGGTAAACACTTCGCATGCCAATAGGTCTTCCGTGTTCTGCAAACCATTCATTTGCAATGGACCTGGTAGTGGAGAAACGTTCCCTTAAGGCCAATAATCTTAGGCGGCGATCTTCACGGTCTGTTGTTCTACGGCGGCGTCCAGTGCCCCTTGCTCTTTGCGTACGGCCTGCTCGAAGTCATGCCTGACAACACCTAACCACAATGTCTACACTTCTTTGTACTCTAACTGCAATTGCCCGAAATGAAAGTCCAGCTTCCCGAAGTCCCACTATACGGCCCCTATCAAACTCACTAAGTTGACGAAATCGTACAGGTCTCCGTACTCTAGGCATCGTAACCGATCGTAAAGGATGTCAAGAACCAAAATCCGCCAACGTTGATTCTTTACTGCGGCTGAAATATTCATTTTTAGAGCGTAAACTGGGTGTTCGGATTTATATATCACTTAGTATATATCTATAGATACTGTAAACAATCCTGACTCCGTAACACAGAAATGGCCACTGTTTGGAATCCAGGGGCCAAAGAAATCACAGTTTCTTTTTCGAATTTAATGTTTGAACACCTGGTAACTAGAAAAGTGTTAATTTTAGAACCATAGAACCAACAACATACTGTAAAAAAACACCGTATTCAAAGTCTAATTTATTACTTTGACACTAATTCATAGCCACACCTGCAACTGATTTATGTCAAATTTATATCTAAGAGGACTGGACTATCGCGCAGTATCGGTCTGACCAAAGAATAGGCTAGGAGGCATATATATATATATATATATATATATATATATATATAAAACATATCTCAATTTCTAAATTTTTGTGGCGATTACAATACTTCCTCGCCAGTTGGCGTAGGAAGTAAAAATGACACTAAAGATACAAATCTATTGATAGAACTGTCAAAAATTAGGAGTTAAATAAATCCTTCTAGTCTGAACTCGTTGGGTCTTACTGCTTCCGCCATCTGGTCGGGCATTTAACTTCAATCGATGAATTCCAGAAGCGTTCCAGCGTTTCGTCGAAGTTATCTATATGTCGATTGTTACTTCTCGATGGTGATAGATGCTTCGCGAACGTGAACTCGATATCTCACGTATTCTAGCTGCAACCTATACCGCTCTTAATACACGGCCGCGTAACACTGGTTGCCTAAACGAAATACGAGGGTGTCTCGCTGGTACGTAGACTTCCAGTTATAATTTCAGCTAATTTGACTCGGAGCCTTTATCATTTCTTCTTTTCATCTTCCAGTATTTCGAATGTTCGTCGAAAAGCCTCCTTTTCGTGCTAACCTGCGCCTTCATCACCTTCATTTCGATCCACTTCATGGCGTGCATGCAATTTGCGGTACCGAGATTCGCCACTCGATACTTCGTGAAGCACGAAGAAAGGAACGCGTGGATTCACAACGAAAACGTTGACAGCACCGAAAAGAGTTTCATCTCGAAGTACGTCATATGCTTTTTCAAGAGCAGCGCTTATATATTAGGTGAGATTTGATATCAAAAGATCCAAAAATGGTATACCCAGAGCCCGAGTGTGTACAAAATTTCATTCAAATCAAACCATTTTTACTGGGTGTTCTTTTTTTGTTAATCATGAGTAAAGTTTTCAAAACTGAACATTACATTAATCAGAAAAATTGGGATCCACCATATTTTTAATCATGACATTGATATTAACATGCTTTCGTTCATTATTCGAAATTCTACGCCGTTCTGATCATTCTTAGTGAAGATGAAACACGAAGTGAAGTGAAGACGAGATTCTCAACGAACCGATACTGAGCATCGCCGACAGGCGCTTCGTGTTGGGATCGGCGGTGGGGGAGCCGACAAACACGACGGTGTACAGTGTTGGGAACTATATTTTAGATACAACCCTCGTATATTCTATTTTTCAGGTGTTTATCTGCCACTGTTCATACACTACAGGTCTGAAGAATATGTGCTAGCCATCGCTACATATTTGACAGGAAAGCTGTTGTGTGGCGCTGTCTGGGGTGAGATATGACATTACACAACCGCGGTCCAAAATACTTGTACTACAAAACGTATCATGAGCCACTCCTTCCTTGCATTTCGTATTTATCTATAAATGTTGATAATTATTTGTTTTTCGCTAACGCTAAAATGAAGCCTTTTAGCTCTTTTTTTAGACGGTGTGCAGCTAACGTCAACAACTTCATCCGTATCAGACATTTTGAGTCCTAAGAAATTAAACTGACAAATCTAATAAGCACACAGTAATACCAGTATAAATCTGATGCCGACTCTGTGCTGTACGGCCAGCCACCGGGACCAGTGTTGCCAGAGCGAAGTTTAAAATATCCGTCACACGTATCGCAAAATTCCGCTACATGCCGCTACGGTCTAAAAATTTAAGGGGGGGAGGGAGGTTTAAAATAAACAACAAATATATTTTTTACATATTTACTTTTTTTTAAACACTATCTAAAAACCCTACTAAAAATACAAACAGTAACATAATATAATTGCAATTTTTCGTAAAAACATAAAAAGTATACCTCTAAAAAACAAAACTGTCTTTGGTTTAGAATTAGGAACTAATAAAAAAATAGAAACTATCACAAATATCTTAATCTTAATAGAAAAAAAAACAAAAAATAAGGATAAAGAAGAAGCGGAAACGTGGAAATGCCTACGTTTGCTTATTTTATTCGCAGTCAGAATTAGAAATTACTTCTTCTTTAGCTTGTTCTTCATTATTTACATTCGAAGTTGAGTCATTTATTTTAACAGTGGGTAGATCTGATCAAAAGAAATGTTTTTTTCCTTTACCATTTTTCTGGTAAAATTAAAGTAACAAAGTTATAGCCCTTTGGAAGTTTGAGTACCGCCCTGTCTCAATAATAATATTATGTGCTCGTGTTTGGCAACAACGGATATAATCCGCCTTATCGGTTCATCGCATCGGAAACAAAAAAGCGAAAGAATTTGGAACGATGTTTTTACAATTATTTTATTCACTTGTATACAGTCAGTGTCAGTCGGTAACGCGTGAGTGAATAGTGGTGTCTGTGGCGTGGCTCGAACGAAATCAAAAATGGCATATGTTTATGCGGATCGGTTTCCCAATCGAGTGCAACCAACCCCTCGTGCCTTTGTTAATGTAGTACAAAGGGCTCGTGAATCAGGTGACTTAAGACCTCACAGGGGATGGCATGCCGGTGCTCCAAGACCTCAAATACAGGTCCGCACTGAAATACTTGTCGGGAGGATACTTTATAAAACAAGGTAAATTTTTTTTTTATTTTTTTTTATTTTTACACACATATTTTGGTTTATCTTCCTTCTACAATCATTATCAGAAAAATAATGACTCAACTTCAAAGTCACCCTGTATAAATTCTTTTTATATTTGTTTAAATGATTCTCATTAAAACTATAGGATAAACAGCACTGTTTTTTTGACTCCAAGTCTAATTTAATTGTAAGAAGTGCAGACAAAGTTGATGGTATTATTTTATTTCTTTTTTTTGTTTTGTAATCAAGCATATAAGCAAAAGTTCGCTCAACATCAGCGTTTCCATGATGCAATGTTAAAATTATTAGAGCCAGTTTACCTATATTGCGAAATAAATATTCGTCATTAAAATTTTTGAGGTCGTTTACAAACGACCAAAATTCAATGACATTACTTTTTGTTTTTAAAATTGCCTCTTTCTCACTATCACTAAAATAAATACATATTTTCTTTAGTTCCAAAATTGCCTTTTCGGTTTCAATATGAAGCGCAAATTTTTTTAAAACGGCGTCATGAAAGGTATCACTTATAATAAGACGATTGTTCATCACATCAACCGGTGAGAGAAACTTTAGCTCTGAAAAGAAGTTGTCTTTGATAGGAAATCTTTTAAGGGACTCTTCTACCGATTTTTGGTAAAATGTGACACCTTTTAATTTAAATTGTTCGATTGCCGTGTTATTGCAGTGTTTTATTGCATCCATTGTATGCGGACCAACATTCACTTGTTCAATTGGTAATAAGCAGTGGGGATCATTAGGATTTAGATTATATAATTTCTCATTTTTAAAATATTCTGGTCGCATAAAGTTTGTACATAGATGACGTACAAATCGCTCACTCTCTATTGATATGATATTGAGCATAACTTTCTCTGATTGAAAGAGAGCATTAAATTGGTTAAAAATGGGCAACACGAACTTAAAAAACATTAAATACGCCTTAACAAATGGATTCTGTAACTCACTAAGTATTACATTTGCTACAGGATTTTTGTCTTCAATGGAAGATAATCTAAATAGGCTAAGCAAGATGTCCCACTGATCCAAAACTCTATCAACACATTTGGATAAAGCAAGCCACCTTGTTTTACTAGGGCTTAAAATTTTTAATTTTGACTTTTTGAAATATTCCTGTAATTCTTCAAGAACACACTGCCTTTTTGGGCTTCTTGAGAAGTAAGAATATAAGTTTTGTAAAAGAGCTTCAACGTTGCTTGGAATCTTTTCAGCTGCCGCCACCGCCACTAAACGAGCAGAGTGGTAAATGCAGCCATTGACAATTATATTAGGATTATCTTTTAAAAGATAAGTTTTGAAAGATTCGTTATTGCCCATCATAACACTAGCGTTGCCGGAACAGTATCCATCAATATTGGTAATTTTTACTGGATTGGATATAACGCATTTTTTAAAAAGAGAATATAAACCTTTGGCGGTACCTTCATCTGCGTTTATTTTGATTATATCTAATAAATGGGTTTTAATTGAATTTTTATGAATATACCTTACAAGAATGCATAGTAGTCTTGTATTGCTCAGGTCTGTACTCTCATCCAATAAAATAGAAAATGGTTTATTTTCCAATTCTGAAATTATTTCGTCTTTAATAACAGGAGCCAGCACATTTTTAATTATACTTATGAATTTGGATCTTTTTAATTTAAGTGAGCTAGAGAGATCTGGGTCCTTAAAACATAATTGACTAACTCCTGTTATATGATCAACAGTTCTAAAACTTATATAATGACTTACAACTAAAGGACTATATCTTAAGCAAGCAAATATTTGCCGTTTTTCCAACTCACGTGCTTCCCGAAACTGAAAAGTGCTATCTAACGTTCTTACATTCGAAATTGCTTGTACATTAGTGGCATGCCTTTTTGATTTCGATTTTAGCACCCATTATTTGATTACAAGCTTTACATTTTGCTTTCAACTTGTCATTTTCAATAGGTCCCAACCAGCCTTTAAATAACGGATCTTCTAGCCATGATGAAGTAATAAACATTTGTTTTCGTGTCTTTTTCTTAACAGGTTGCTCTGGCTCTTGGTTATCCTGAGATTCGCAAGTCGAATTATCAGGCTCAGACCTGATTCCACTAGATTCCGCTCTTCTATTTTGTCTGTATTCAGGTTCGGGATGGTCCGAGTCCGACACAGATGCAGTCGAAGTGGATGGTACGGCCACGTTTGGTTTCACCGTTTGTTTTTTAGAAGGATTTTTATCAAAAAAATCGTTAATGGTCTGTTGTCGCCTTTCCATTATTCCTATTTTCCAGAAGAAAAAGCGTTAAAAACAAATTTCGCGACCAAGATTTATTTCTGGATCAAACTATAATATGTTAGATATTTAAGCAGTTTTGTTACTTACCAGTAGATTTAATATTAAAATCTGCAGCAAATGATATATCAATAAAATGATCAACACAAAAATAAGAACACTAATATAAACGAAACTAAACAGAGCTGAAAAATACAATACAAAGCGAGAAACCTAATATTATGTCTGCCTGCTGAGACCTGTTAGAAACGATTAGTATTGAAAGCAGCACGTACGCCATCTGTTATTGAAAAAAAAAGGCAAGTGGAATAATTCTCGACTCTGTTCCTAGATGGCTCAAGCGGCACCAAATGCACCAATTTTATTATTAATGTGATAATAAATCAGACTCTAGCCACTGCCTATTCGGGATTTAGAACGTTATTAACGTTAAAACAGTGAAATAAATATGATAGTTTTGTATGTAATAAATTTCGCTACATTTTGGGCTAATTTGCTCTACCGCCGCTACGCCGCTCTTCTCAAAATAATCCGCTACAAATAGCGGAATTCCGCTACGTATGGCAACACTGACCAGGAGAGCCTGCATGCACGGTCGTATCGTCTCCCACTCCACCCTCTGGTTTGTCATTGGTTTTGTGTAAGGGCTCGACCTATTCTGCCCAATAACAGTTATGCTCCCTATCTCTTTAAATATATATATATATATACAGATCACGCAATAATCACGCGATGATCACTGTTTTGGTTTAGTCTCTTTCTTCGATACATACATAGTAGGTTATGTTTACATTTAATAAGATCCCTGCATTGGCTAGTTCAAATACAAAGTATAAACAATAAACATTTGTGTTAAAATTTATGTGAATATCCCACTTCAGATGGTGGTTCAATTCTAAGTTTATTACAGTTAGTAATTCCGGTAATGACGTGTGATAGGATATATACTAAGTGACATATAAATCCGAACACCCAGTTTAAATGGTTTTATTTTAATAAAAGTTGGTGAATGTATTTATCTTGCTGTAAATAACAAGTGAAACAATTTTCAGCCTTATCAGTTGGACATTCCGGTTTTTCTACTGCTTTTTTTTAATTCACTAACGCTCTAAGAATGAATATTTCAGCCGCAGTAAAGAATCAACGTTGGCGGATTTTGGTTCTTGACATCCTTTACGATCGGTTACGATGCCTAGAGTACGGAGACCTGTACGATTTCGTCAACTTAGTGAGTTTGATAGGGGCCGTATAGTGGGACTTCGGGAAGCTGGACTTTCTTTTCGGGCAATTGCAGTTAGAGTGCAAAGAAGTGTAGACACTGTGGTTAGGTGTTGTCAGGCATGGCTTCGAGAAGGCCGCACGCAAAGAGCAAGGGGCACTGGACGCCGCCGTAGAACAACAGACCGTGAAGATCGCCGCCTAAGATTATTGGCCTTAAGGGACCGTTTCTCCACTACCAGGTCCATTGCAAATGAATGGTTTGCAGAACACGGAAGACCTATTGGCATGCGAAGTGTTTACCGATGAATGAGAAGTTTTGGCTTGTTTTCATACCGGCCACACTGGATCCTCCCTTTAACTCGAGAACACCGACGTAATCGCCTTGAGTGGTGCAGACAACGGTCACTCTGGGATCAGGAATGGAACAGTATTGTCTTTAGTGACGAGTCTCGATTTTGTTTAGGCATGCACGATGGTCGTGCCGAGGTTAGAACGAGACGTGGTGAAAGGAGGAATCCACAGTTTTTTGTTGAAAGACATGTTCATCACACTGTTGGAGTTATGGTTTGGGGTGCTATAGCGTATGGTTCCAGGTCACCTTTAATCTTCATCAGAGGTAACATGAACGCGCAGCGTTATATCCACGAAGTTCTAGAACCCCATCTTTTACCCTATCTTGGCACCCTGGCAGATCCAACTTTCCAACAAGATAATGCCCGACCACATGTTGCAAGAGTCATAATAGACTTCTTTCAACATTGTTACCATGGCCACCAAGATCTTCCAACTTATCCCCAATTAAGCACGTGTAGGATATGATGGGTAGGAGATTGCTCAATTTGCAACGTCCTCCTCAGACTCGAGAAGCACTTCGAGAGGAGTTGGTGGTTGCCTGGAATGAGATACCACAGGAGGACATTGACCACCTGATCAGAAGCATGCCTAGGCGCGTTGGAGAATGCGTAGCACATCAGGGTGCAGCCACACATTATTAAAGGTCAAAGGGTTTTAAAGCAGTGCAATCATTTTGAAATTTTTATCATTTAGTTATTATGCTTCATTAAGTACTTATACAAAATTTTATTAAAATAAAACCATTTAAACTGGGTGTTCGGATTTATATGTCACTTAGTATAAATGACATAGAGTATGTATTACTGGTATTTATGGTTAGAATTTAATTACCGAATCAATCAAGTGTGAAAAATCTTTTTCAACTGAATGCGATTATTTAAATATGGGAAACTTTGTACTCTTTTTATTTCCCACACATCAACTGGCGCACTGACCCTGACAAGAGTATCTAGACCATTGATTTAGGCAAAAATGGAAAAAACCTTAAATTCCTACAGAAAATTCTTTCATCCGGTAAAAACACGTTTGCTTTTTAGTTGTACTGGCGATATACCTTTTGACAAGAAAGGCGATGCAGATACGTTTCTTCGAATTGACCAATCAGTTAGAAGCTTACATCGACGAGAAAAAATTCCCCAGCGATCTTGGGAATAAGCTGTTGGACTACTATACCTTCAAGTATCAACGGAAATTCATAAACGAACAGAAGATATTGGGCCTCTTGTCAGGTATATGGATCCAATGTCAGGGTGATTACAAAAACGAAGTCAATATTTATATCGGGTGTCAAATTCCACACTCGCCACTGAAATCTCGGAAATTGTAAGGGATACGAAGTCACTTAAATGGAGGCAAAATTGCGCATCACCAGGATTGTCAAATCAACAGTCCTTTATTCTCCACCTATAGGCTAGTCCGTCATATACAGCGAATGAGCTTCAAGTTCCAATCAACAAATTTCAGCAACCAATAGCTATGAAATGTTGAAAACAAGATACTGTCAAAGTATGAGATGACAGCTTGTCAATGAAACGTCACAAGCTTATTGAATATTAAGAAATTATATATAATTTAGTCAAAATTTAAAAAGTGTACGATTTTTGAATAAAATTCATGTTCTTATTTAATATTGTCGATTGTTTATTCATGTTTATATTATTTTCTTCAATTGATATGCTGACTCAACATCACCTACCGTGTGTTTTTAGATATCTAAGACAATAATAATAATAATAATAATAATAATAATAATAATAATAATAATAATAATAATAATAATAATAATAATAATAATAATAATGCCTTTATTAAATGCAGTGAGGCAAAGTGTAGCCAGACGGCTACTCTTACACTCAACCCCACAACAGGAAAAAGAATACTTACACACATAAACAAAATTATAACATACCAAAAAAAAATACAATTCATAAGAATGACAACATTGATTGCACGAGACAAATGCAGATAGCATTGCGAGAGTTTTAAATTTGAAACAAAAATAGTAGAAAATAGTCAAACAAAAAAAAAAGAAAAAAAAATCACATGAGCACAAGAAAAACTGCACTAAATGGACTCCAGCAGCTGACTTTTCATTAATTTCTTAAAAGAAACAACCTGTTTGGATCGATAGCCACTGTTGACTGCATTGTAATCCTTGACAGCATTATAGGTGTAACTTCTTTCAAAGACCGAGGTATTGTGAGGAGGCATGTTAAAATTAGCATTAAATCTAAGAGCTCTGGTAACAAAACTACCTCGGTGAAGTAATTTGCTAGCGAGGTAAGCTGGTCTGTTAGATAGTAGAACTTTATGCGTGAAGACGGTCAAAAGATATAAAAATAACTTATCAATTCGCAACCAGTTGAGTTCTTTGATTTTATCTGAGACGCGACTAAACTTGCGCAATCCAAAAATAAACCTACAACAGCTGTTCTGACTAAACAGTCTTGCAGATCGATCGTATAAATCAGATATAGTAAGGGACCTAATACTGAGCCCTGAGGAACTCCTGAAGGAACTGGCTCAGAGGAGGAAATTCCCTGATCAGTTTTCACTGTTTGTTGACGATTTAGCAAGTATGACTCAAAGAACCTTAGAACTATATCTGACATTCCATAATGAGATAACTTACTCAATAGTATCTGGTGATTGACCATATCAAAGGCTTTCGAGAAATCTAACAGTACCAAGATGGTGTTGATGTGATTATCTAAATTGTGAATGATGGAATCAGTAAGATGTAATAAAGACGAAGTAGGGGCTGTAACCAGCTCTGAAACCTGACTGATGTAGAGGAAATAAGTGGTTTTGTTCGAAAAACTCCACTAGTTGTGAGTAGACAGCTCTTTCGAGTATTTTTGATAGAAAGCATAATAAGGTAATTGGCCTGAGATCCGAATATTGTTCTGGATGATTAGTTTTAGCTATTGGAATAATAATACCATTTTTCCAACTGGCAGGAAAGTAACCTGTCTCGAGACAGACATTAATAATGTGAGTTATATGGTCTATGGTATCAGGCAAACATAAGCAAACCATATTTAAAGTTAGACCATCAGAGCCACATGCCGTAGACTTAATGTGAGAGATTATATTGACGATGTCTTGCTGAGTAAGGAGTTTAAAAGCAAACAGAGGTGCATCCGGTGTATGGCGTCTATCGCTATAAGGGTTAGAGACACTATCAATCAAATTTGTATCAGCTGGAAAATTGAAAGAAAATAATTATTTAAAATGTTAGGCTCAAGGAGACTGGGAGGTATCGCAACATGTTTCTGGGCTACCACATTCATCCTCCTCAGGTGTTTCCAAGCTTGACTAGAGTTAAGATTCCGGAAACGTGACATATATGCTTTTTTCTCTCTTCTAAGCGATGCAATGGCATAATTTCTCAAATCTTTGTAGCTGGCCCAATTCTGATCAGATCTGTTATGCTGATAGACAGCGAATGCCTCATCTCTGAGTTGAAAAATCATTTTCAAGTTAGGAGTGAGCCAGGGCGCAGCAGGTTTTGTGACACGTACTGTACGTAGCGGAGCGTAGAGATCGAATAGATAAAGAAGACGGCCAGTAAAAATAGAGACTTTAATATCCACATCATTCAAGAAATAAATGTCATTAAGCTGCATTGATGCAATCTGCGTCTTAAAACTTTGAATATCAATGCTATCAAGATTTCTATATGTTACAAATGTAGGCTCTATTTTTTTATAGAATATAACTTAGAAAGTATCGCAATTCAGTATTTAAAAAAAAGATTATCCTAAACAGTTCTACTTTTTCCAGACTTAATTTGGGATGGGACATTAACGTTAAAATTTCCGCTTTTTCTCTACAAGATGGCATCGTTAAAATTTCATTACGACGTTTCGTCATTTGTGTTCAAACATCAACTTTATTTTTCACTATAGGCGCCATATTCGATTTTTTCACGGATGAATAGAGTTTTCAATGCATTTATTTCCGATTCAAAGATAACCTAAAGCGAGACGTAAGGACCCACATCTGCAAAAAGCTGGTCAAGTCCATAACGACGTTCAACGATCTACGAGAATACGACATAGACGAGCTCGTATCCAAACTGGTACCTCAGATATACCTGCCAATGGAAACAATCGTCAGATCTGGATCTGTCGCTGACGGATGCTACATTATCTCCAGTGGAACTGTCGCTTTGTATACGCATTCGGGAAAAGAGGTACTGTATTAGGGTACCAATCCCAATAATCTGTAGACATTAAACATTTTAATTAAGCCTGTAGCCTGTAAATAAATGATAGGTCACGTCAGGCACAAAATAATATACAGGGTGTCCCAGAAGTTGACGTCAAGCCGAAACCGGGTGATAGGCAAAGTCATAACGGCTATCAGAAAAATATTTAAAAAAATTTTATGTATGTGTTTTGAAAATTATAGGTCTTTGAAAAAGATATAGAAATTTCACACCCTACAGCAGTCTGTCAACTCCTGTTACTACAAATATTAACTTTTTTTGGATTTTATTTTTACAATGTGATGATGAATAATGCATCTTCAAACTGGTGTCTCAACCTTACTGCCAACTTTTCTCGTTCAGGAAAAATTGCCACTTATTTCCCAACCAAGTATTCCAAAGTAAAACTTTGCTCAACTTTAACTGGCTGTACTGGAAAAAAATGTACTACGAGAGTTTGGCAAGTAATCTTAAAAGTTGGCGCATTTAATAAGGATTCCAAAATGGTATAACACTTAGAAGATTACTCGTTAACTTATGCACAATTTTTATTTGAAGAAAAACTGATGACAATTTATCAAAATTTCCTAATTAAACAGCGATTATGAAAACGCACAAGGACCCTTAAGGATAACTGTTTGCACAACAGTGGGCGTCAAAATGCTGCTGATGATGATTTACCTTTACAGCAAATGCTCAAACTGTTTTCCTTCAGCCGCAATACACGCTCGACATCTTCTTAAAAAAGATCGGGTTATTAAACGAGCGAATCCACGGTTATTAACAAACTCAGCTGCTTCCAATAGTCTTTGCCGTAGCTCAGCTACATTTTGAATCGGCTTGAAATACACTTTTTCTTTTACAGTTCCCCAGTAAAAAAAATCTAACGGATTCAAATCTGGTGACCGGGCTGGCCACGGTATTGTACCAGACCGCCCTATCCATCTGCCTAGAAAGTTTTGATCGAGATGCTCTCTCACTGAGAGTGCATAGTGCGCTGGGCAGCCATCATGCTGAAACCACATATCCCTGTAAATACTCAGTGGCACGTCCTCCAATAAATTTTCTAAATGATTTTGCAAAAAACCTAAATAAACCTCAGCAGTCAAAGTCTCTGGGAACTCAAACGGACCGATTATTTTACCATTTAAAATTCCTGTCCAATGGTTTATCTTGAAGCGATATTGAGATTTATCTTCTCTCATCAAATGTGGGTTTGCTACGTGCCACTCGTGTAAGTTATGCAGGTTCATGTACCCATCTTTCTTAAATGTGGTCTCATCTGACCATAAATTTTTTTCAAAGAACCGTGGATCTTCCCTGTGTCTTTCTAACATTGTGCGACAAAAAGCAACTCGGGGCTCATAATCCCGAGGCAGAAGAGCTTGAACACGCTGTACGTGGTATGGATGGAGCAAGTTTTTTTGCAAGATTCTATGGGCTGTACTTTTGGGCACACCTGTTTTTAGTTCTATTGCACGCACTGAAGTACTCGGGTCTTCTTCGACAGCTCCTAGCACCACGTCTTCGTAAGGAAGGAAAGATCTTCCCTCACCGTGTGATTGGTTTGGTAGTTGGCCCTCTGAGAACAGTAAGCGGTGCACATTTGTGAACACTCGATGATCTGGATGACGAGCTGCATTCGGGTACCTCTCACAGTAAAGTCTCGCTGCAGCATTAGCGTTGCATCTGCATTCTCCATAAATGAGGTGCATGTTAGCATATTCTTGTACGGTGTACACGGACATAGCGGCACTGCACAATCACACTATCAAAGATAGTCTAAGGAAAGCAAATGTTGTTTTGAAGAGCAATTAAACAGTCCAAATCCAAATCACAAGCGATCAACACTCCAGTTCACGAATCCAAAATTAGTAACAGTACGAAATCAACAAGCACGAACATGTAAAGATGCGCAGTAAACGAAGGAGTACTGATCGGTATCAAAGTGTGCAATAGCAAGTAAGTGATGTGCTTCATCCATACCACATACAGCGTGTTCAACCTCTCCTGCCCCGGGATTATGAGCCCCGAGTTGCTTTTTGTCGCACAATGTTAGGACACAGGAAAGATCCACAGTTCTTTGAAAAAATGTTATGGTCGGATGAGACCACATTTAAGAAAGATGGTACATGAACCTGCATAACTTACACGAGTGGCACGTAGCAAACCCACATTTGATGAGAGAAGATAAATCTCGATATCGCTTCAAGATAAACCATTGGACAGGAATATTAAATGGTAAAATAATCGGTCTGTTTGAGTTCCCAGAGACTTTAACTGCTGAAGTTTATTTGGATTTTTTGAAAAATCATGTACAAAATTAATTGGTGGACGTGCCACTGAGTATTTACAGGGACATGTGGTTTCAGCATGATGGCTGCCCAGCGCACTATGCACTCTCAGTGAGAGAGTATCTCGATCAAAGCTTTCCAGGCAGATGGATAAGGCGGTCTGGTACAATACCGTGGCCAGCCCGATCACCTGATTTGAATCCTTTAGATTTTTTTACTGGGGAACTGTAAAAGAAAAAGTGTGTTTCAAGCCGATTCAAAATGTAGCTGAGCTGCGGCAAAGACTATTGGAAGCAGCAGACTTTGTTAATAACCGTTGATTCGCTCGTTTAATAACCCGATCTTTTTTAAGAAGATGTCGAGCGTGTATTGCGGCTGAAGGAAAACAGTTTAAGCATTTGCTGTAAAGGTAAATCATCATCAGCAGCATTTTGACGCCCACTGTTGTGCAAACAGTTATCCTTAAGGGTCCTTGTGCGTTTTCATAATCGCTGTTTAATTAGGAAATTTTGAAAAATGTTCATCAGTTTTTTTTTCAAATAAAAATTGTGCATAAGTTAACGAGTAATCTTCTAAGTGTTATACCATTTTGGAATCGTTATTAAATGCGCCAACATTTAAGGTTACTTGCCAAACTCTCGTAGTACATTTTTTTCCAGTACAGCCAGTTAAAGTTGAGCAAAGTTTTACTTTGGAATACTTGGTTGGGAAATAAGTGGCAATTTTTCCTGAACGAGAAAAGTTGGCAGTAAGGTTGAGACACCAGTTTGAAGATGCATTATTCATCATTACATTGTAAAAATAAAATCCAAAAAAAGTTAATATTTGTAGTAACAGGAGTTGACAGACTGCCGTAGGGTGTGAAATTTCTATATCTTCTTCAAAGACCTATAATTTTCAAAACACATACATACATTTTTTTAAAATATTTTTCTGATAGCTGTTATGACTTTGCCAATCACCCGGTTTCGGCTTGACGTCGACTTCTGGGACACCCTGTATATGAGTCTGCGAAAGGTTGGGAATTGGCCTAAACATACCTTAGTCCAAAAGTTGATAATTTGCGAGTTACAGGGTGTCAAAGTTACTAGTTTATTTTCTATTTTTCCTTATTGCTTGAGAACTATTTCAGATTTTGGCATAAAACTCGGTATAGGGAGGTTTTCTAGTATGAAAAACAAGAATCCGTTATTTTTTATGGCCAAACTTCTAGAAAGCGACACTTACGTGTTAGCTTCGGTAAATAACTTATCATAACTTTTTTTTGATACCCTGTATACAACAACTGACCGTAAAATCTTATTTTCTCCAATGCACTATTTGTACGATGATGATAAAACATTTTTATAACGTAATAATCAAGTTGCTTTGGATAATATCTGAGTAGCGTTGCTATGGTTTCAAATGGTTGTCAAAATATTTAAAACTTCAATAATAATTATACAGGTAAGTTGACAATAAGTTATAAAACATCATGATTGATGAATATTCTGATAGGCATTGAATGTTCGGAATGGCAAGATGTGCTTTAAAAGAGCGAAGATTGTAGATTCCTTAATAGACACCTGCCTAATTCAAAGACTTTCCAACGAATCGATTATAATCACTTGTTTTCCTGTCAACAACATTTATCAATCATCTGCAAAAAGGTCAGGGGCGGAGCATAGGGATCAAAGATCAACCCTCGCATATAAATGTTTATTTTTTCAGGTATATCATCTTCAAGACGGCGCGCTATTCGGAGAAATCTCTTTGTTGATTCGTGACCAAGAAACGGTTCTCGCTACAGTGATAGCTATAGAGACATCGCAAGTATACAAATTTTTGAAGAGAGATCTGGAAAGATTCTTGAAAGCACACAAACAGATTGCACAGTTCCTGATCAAGTAGGTGGACAGCTACGTTTGTTTTTAATTTTTTTGGGCAAAATCCAATTTTTTGAACATACGAAAAATTTCGAAAATGAAATACATACAGGGTGGCGCATTTACTGGCAGCTCAGTTTTTTTTTTTTGAAAAACGCTCAGACCCGTCGATTTTGTTTTCGAGGGGGACACAAGTTTGGCAAAAAATCACGTTAGCACGTGCAGCCACCTAAGCGGGGGTGACACCACCCTCAAAATCTTAAATGAAAAGGGGGGTCGAGTGATACCTTATTTTAAAGGTCTTTCAATTCCCTTTATAATGATGTAAAATACATGAGCTTCAGTTCAGTAGTTTTGAAGATTTAAAGCTTAAAGTAGACTTCAGTAGGTACATCAGATTAGTTTGTACTACTTTCAGAGGAAATTTGACTAAGAGAATTTACCTAATAAGTAAACGCTTTTCTTCACTACGCCCACGGTTTGTTTATCATTTTGTCATTAAAAATAGCTATTGGAGCGTTTTTTTGTGGCAAAAAAGTTATTTCTTGAGGAAAGGTAAGGAAATATCTCGTACTTATTTTAAATAGGAATTTAGTACATAGTTTGCGATTGATTTGACCAAGCTTTGTTGCTAAAATAACTTGTAACGCTTTATTACATAAATTAACCATGGTATATTCCACAGCAGAAAGAGTTGAAAATATCGAAATATTTTTCGGAAATAATCAGTGCGCTAATAGAACAGCAGAAATATTTAATGAGAGACATGAGAACAGTAACGTGCATCGAAAATATGTTCTAGAACTTGTAGCTAAATTTCGGAAAACTGGGTCAGTCGCCAATAAAAAACGCAACATTGAAAATCCAATAAGGTACGAAGCAATGGGGGTTTTAGGGCAAATTTATGTAGATCCTACGTTAAGTACCCGCAAATTGGAGACTGTGTGTGGTGTTAGTCGACGTACTGTCCAACGGAATCTAAAGGCCCATAGTTTTCATCCGTATAAAATTCACCTGGTACAAGAACCTAATGAAGACGATTTTGATCGGCGATTACAATTTTGTGAAGATATGAGTGAACGAATTATAGATAGATAGATAGATAGATAGCCTTTATTGTCTTTTGGTCATAAATAGCTATGACATAAGACTTGTCAACATTACATATACAATACATAAGTATGCGATATGCAAAAAAGAACAAGTAGTTAATTAAAACAGTAATTGAGATAATAAATAATAAACAAATAAATAAATAAAATAGGAGTCATTACAAACACAAATTCTTAATGACATCAAACGAACATGAAAAAAAATCAATTTTAAATAAATAAAAACAATTGAGCACTTAAAATGTCTAGAAGAGGAGCAATAAATAGACTGTTTCTTTTCCGTTAAGCTTAATAAATGAATAAAAAGAATAAATAAATAAAATTAAGCAGTTAGGTATTCGTCGACGGTGTAGTAACACTTTTCTGATAGATATCTTCTCAGACGTTTCTTTAATGTCAACATATACTAAGTGACATATAAATCCGAACACCCAGTTTAAATGGTTTTATTTTAATAAAATTTTGTATAAGTACTTAATGAAGCATAGTAAGTAAATGATAAAAATTTCAAAATGATTGCACTGCTTTAAAGCCCTTTGACCTTTAATAATGTGTGGATGCACCCTGATGTGCTACGCATTCTCCAACGCGCCTAGGCATGCTTCTGATCAGGAGGTCAATGTCCTCCTGTGGTATCTCATTCCAGACAACCACCAACTCCTCTCGAAGTGCTTCTAGAGTCTGAGGAGGACGTTGCAAATTGAGCAATCTCCTACCCATCATATCCCACACGTGCTCAATAGGGGATAAGTCGGGAGATCTTGGTGGCCATGGTAACAATGTGACATCATTATGTTGAAAGAAGTCTATTGTGACTCTTGCAACATGTGGTCGGGCATTATCTTGTTGGAAAGTTGGATCTGCCAGGGTGTCAAGATAGGGTTCTAGAACTTCGTGGATATAACGCTGCGCGTTCATGTTACCTCTGATGAAGATTAAAGGTGACCTGGAACCATAAGCTATAGCACCCCAAACTATAACTCCAACAGTGTGATGAACATGTCTTTCAACAAAAAACTGTGGATTCCTCCTTTCACCACGTCGCCTTCTAACCCTGGCACGACCATCGTGCATGCCTAAACAAAATCGAGACTCGTCACTAAAGACAATACTGTTCCATTCCTGATCCCAGAGTGACCGTTGTCTGCACCACTCAAGGCGATTACGTCGGTGTTCTCGAGTTAAAGGGAGGACCCAGTGTGGCCGGTATGAAAACAAGCCAAAACTTCTCATTCGTCGGTAAACACTTCGCATGCCAATAGGTCTTCCGTGTTCTGCAAACCATTCATTTGCAATGGACCTGGTAGTGGAGAAACGGTCCCTTAAGGCCAATAATCTTAGGCGGCGATCTTCACGGTCTGTTGTTCTACGGCGGCGTCCAGTGCCCCTTGCTCTTTGCGTACGGCCTTCTCGAAGCCATGCCTGACAACACCTAACCACAGTGTCTACACTTCTTTGCACTCTAACTGCAATTGCCCGAAAAGAAAGTCCAGCTTCCCGAAGTCCCACTATACGGCCCCTATCAAACTCACTAAGTTGACCAAATCGTACAGGTCTCCGTACTCTAGGCATCGTAACCGATTCTAAAGGATGTCAAGAACCAAAATCCGCCAACGTTGATTCTTTACTGCGGCTGAAATATTCATTTTTAGAGCGTTAGTGAATTAAAAAAAAGCAGTATAAAAACCGGGATGTCCAACTGATAAGGCTGAACATTTTTTCACTTGTTATTTACAGTAAGATAAATACATTCACCAACTTTTATTAAAATAAAACCATTTAAACTGGGTGTTCGGATTTATATGTCACTTAGTATATGTATATGTAGTAACACAAAACAATAAAATAAAAAGTCTCTACAAGGGCGCAAAAATTCATATATTGTCGTTTGTTTCCTCTTTTTCTTTGAAATGGCATCTTGAAATCGTATTTCTAATTTAGGAGGAAACTCCAAAGACTCTGTGTCTCCTCGATTTTCGACAAAACTTTTCAGCTGCTTGGTCGGAGTAATAGCTTTACCATAATTTGAAATAGCTTCTGTTAGTACTGCAATCTCATCTACATCAGAATCTCCTGAAAGTTCTTGTATTCAACTGGATTCTCAATTTCTTGGCCTGAATCTGGATCTTCAACATACAAACTTTCATCTAGGTTCAAAAAATCGTCAATGTTTCCATTATCAGTCAAGTGGTAAGTCATCTACCAGCGAGCAACCGCGGGAAGTCCCGGGGCAGGAATCCACCACGTTTGTACCGAAAGATTAAAGTTTCATTCAATAATGATTTTAGGAGAGCAGAAAAAAAGAAAAGAATGCTGGCAAAGTTCGAGAAAGAAGCAAGACGTATGCTGTTCGAACAAACGTACAAAACTACAAACAATCCAGGTGATGAACATGAAGCATACGTTGAACAAGGAGAACAAGAGTTGAAGCAGTGATTAATTTTTATCAGTTTTGTTAAATTTATATTATTGTATTGTTTATGTTAATATCTTTAACCCAATATCACTTTTCTAAACCCAATACAATATTCTAAAAAAATTATACACATTCAGTCGACAAGAAAGTAAAGTTACAGCTAAAATTTTTATGAATCAGATGTCACGGTGAATGAAAAATATACTAAGGGACATATGAATCCGAACACCCAGTTTAAATGGTTTTATTTTAATAAAATTTTGTATAAGTACTTAATGAAGCATAATAACCAAATGATAAAAATTTCAAAACGATTGCACTGCTTTAAAACCCTTTGACCTTTAATAATGTGTGGATGCACCCTGATGTGCTACGCATTCTCCAACGCGCCTAGGCATGCTTCTGATCAGGTGGTCAATGTCCTCCTGTGGTATCTCATTCCAGGCAACCACCAACTCCTCTGCTTCTAGAGTCTGAGGAGGACGTTGCAAATTGAGCAATCTCCTACCCATCATATCCCACACGTGCTCAATTGGGGATAAGTCGGGAGCTCTTGGTGGCCATGGTAACAATGTGACATCATTATGTTGAAAGAAGTCTATTATGACTCTTGCAACATGTGGTCGGGCATTATCTTGTTGGAAAGTTGGATCTGCCAGGTGTCAAGAGGGTAAAAGATGGGGTTCTAGAACTTCGCGGATATAACGCTGCGCGTTCATGTTACTTCTGATGAAGATTAAAGGTGACCTGGAACCATAAGCTATAGCACCCCAAACCATAACTCCAACAGTGTGATGAACATGTCTTTCAACAAAAAACTGTGGATTCCTCCTTTCACCACGTCGCCTTCTAACCCTGGCACGACCATCGTGCATGCCTAAACAAAATCGAGACTCGTCACTAAAGACAATACTGTTCCATTCCTGATCCCAGAGTGACCGTTGTCTGCACCACTCAAGGCGATTACGTCGGTGTTCTCGAGTTAAAGGGAGGAGCCAGTGTGGCCGGTATAAAAACAAGCCAAAACTTCTCATTCGTCGGTAAACACTTCGCATGCCAATAGGTCTTCCGTGTTCTGCAAACCATTCATTTGCAATGGACCTGGTAGTGGAGAAACCGTCCCTTAAGGCCAATAATCTTAGGCGGCGATCTTCACGGTCTGTTGTTCTACGGCGGCGTCCAGTGCCCCTTGCTCTTTGCGTACGGCCTTCTCGAAGCCATGCCTGACAACACCTAACCACAGTGTCTTCACTTCTTTGCACTCTAACTGCAATTGCCCGAAAAGAAAGTCCAGCTTCCCGAAGTCCCACTATACGGCCCCTATCAAACTCACTAAGTTGACGAAATCGTACAGGTCTCCGTACTCTGGGCATCGTAACCGATCGTAAAGGATGTCAAGAACCAAAATCCGCCAACGTCGATTCTTTACTGCGGCTGAAATATTCATTTTTAGAGCGTTAGTGAATTAAAAAAAAGCAGTATAAAAACCGGAATGTCCAACTGATAAGGCTGAACATTTTTTCACTTGTTATTTACAGTAAGATAAATACATTCACCAACTTTTATTAAAATAAAACCATTTAAACTGGGTGTTCGGATTTATATGTCACTTAGTATAAAAACCACATGACAAGTTTCAGGAGTCACATTATTACACTCCTCGAAAATAACCAGACGGCTCCGCATAAATCGGCGTTTCGGCCGTTGTAAAATCCCAATATTCCACTGATCCAGTTTCCCGTTCCGACCCGCCTCAAAAATCCGTTGGCGCTGTCCCAGACGAACGCGATCGATTTCCTTTCGTGCCCCCCCCCCCTCCTCTTCGCTCCGGGGCCCGGAATCGCGCCAAACATTCCGGGTGACGCTCACGGCGCACGCCTACTACGATATGCCGGACTGGCTAGACGGCAGATATCGTAACAGCTGCGAGATGCGGTGGAATGTAAACAATCGACTGTTGTGTTCTCGTGGAGACTCGTGGAATGCTGTTGATCGAGATCCGTTGTTCAATGAACCGATAATGCATTGACTGAACGTCTCTTCTCGATATAAGATCAATTACTCTGGATCCCAAGCACCAAACGACATGGGTCTAATGTAAAAAACGACAATATAATAAGTTTACACAGCTTTTAAGATTAATTGATTTTATTTATTACATTCTTTAAAACCTTTATCAAATGCTAAGCAGCTGCTTAGTTCTAACAGTATATCTTCAAAACCATGTCTTGTTATTTACCACAATAAATCAGAGAGTAATCAGTCGAGATCGCAGATCCCTTAAAAGCCTGAATAAGATTATGCAAAAAAGTATAATCAAAATATTTTCCGGATGCGAATATACTTCTTGGACTGCTATTTCTTGGCATGGCCATTCAATGGCAAAATTTCACCAATACGTCACTTATTGTTTTGCCTAAGCACACTTTACCTGGCATGTGATATATTTATGCCGAATCGTATAATCAGTTCTCCGAAATACTAGAAATATTAAACATGTGTCAAACATAAAAAAAGTCCTACGAACTTCGTGAACTGCTTACATATCTGAATTATTATTGTTGTGGCTAGACGCACCGTTTACAGTTTACAATTACGTGCTTGGGCACTTGGTATTTGCAATATCGCGTTTGTTTCCCAATCTGCTATTTCTAGACAGTGACGTCATGTTGCAGAAACAGATTCGTAGACAGAAAAGGTACGTTAATACATGTCGAATATTGTTTCAAAACCAATGTTATATATGTACATGTCGTAGCCGTATGGAACAATTGTCCATTTCATTACACGATCGAGCATTTCGTGACATGGTCGCAATTCATAAAATAGCCTACTAAATTTAGCCAAATCGTCACCGTTCAACGATTCGGTTATCTATGGTTGAACACATCGTGAAATCGTCGATGTTTAACAATTTGGTCGACACCGATTGAACATATCGCGAAATAATCATCGTCTAACGAATTGGTCACCCACGATTCACCATAATGTTAAATCGTCAACGTTTAACGATTTGATCATTTACTATTGACAATATCGTGAAATCGTCAACGTCTTACAATTTGGTCAACTACGGTTCACCGTATCGTGAAGTCGTCAAAGTTTAACGATTTGATCATTTAGGATCGTGAAATTGTCAACATCTTACGATTTGGTCATTCAGGAATGACCATATCGTGAAACCGTTAACGTCTAACGATTTGGTCACTTATGGTTGACCATACCGTGAAATCGTCAAGCCTAACGATATGATCATACACAGTTGACCAAATCGTAAAATCATCAATATCTAACGATGTGGTCAACTATGACTGACCACATCGTGAAATCGTTAACGTTTAACGATCTGGTCATCCACGATTCACCATAACGTTAAATCGTCAACGTTTAAAGATTTGATCATTTACGATTGACCATATCGTGAAATCGTCAACATCTCACAATTTGGTCAACTACGATTCACCGTATCGTGAAATCGTCAACGTTTAACGATTTGATCATTTACGATCGTGAAATTATCAACATCTTACGATTTGGTCAATCACGAATGACCATATCGTGAAACTGTTACCGTCTAACGATTTGGTCATTTATGGTTGACCACACCGTGAAAGCGTCAACGCCTAACGATATGATCATGCACGGTTGACCAAATCGTAAAATCATCAATGTCTAACGATTTGGTCAACTATGACTGACCACATCGTGAAATCGTTAACGTCTAACGATTTGGTCACTTATGGATGACCATACCGTGAAATCGTCAAGCATAACGATATGATCATGAAAGGTTGACCAAATCGTAAAATCATCAATGTCTAACGATTTGGTCAACTATGACTGACCACATCGTGAAATCGTTAACGTCTAACGATTTGATTATCCACGATTCATCATAACGTTAAATCGTCAACGTTTAAAGATTTGATCATTTACGATTGACCATATCGTGAAATCATCAACATCTCACAATTTGGTCAACTACGATTCACCGTATCGTGAAATCGTCAACGTTTAACGATTTGATCATTTACGATCGTGAAATTATCAACATCTTACGATTTGGTCAATCACGAATGACCATATCGTGAAACTGTTACCGTCTAACGATTCGGTCATTTATGGTTGACCACACCGTGAAAGCGTCAACGCCTAACGATATGATCATGCACGGTTGACCAAATCGTAAAATCATCAATGTCTAACGATTTGGTCAACTATGACTGACCACATCGTGAAATCGTTAACGTCTAACGATTTGGTCACTTATGGATGACCATACCGTGAAATCGTCAAGCATAACGATATGATCATGAAAGGTTGACCAAATCGTAAAATCATCAATGTCTAACGATTTGGTCAACTATGACTGACCACATCGTGAAATCGTTAACGTCTAACGATTTGATTATCCACGATTCATCATAACGTTAAATCGTCAACGTTTAAAGATTTGATCATTTACGATTGACCATATCGTGAAATCGTCAACATCTTACGATTTGGTCAACTACAATTCACCGTATCGTGAAATTGTCAACGTATAACGAGTTGGTCATTGACGAATGACCATATCGTGAAACCGTCAACATCTTACGATTTGGTCAACTACAATTCACCGTATCGTGAAATTGTCAACATATAACGAGTTGGTCATTGACGAATGACCATATCGTGAAACCGTTAACGTCTAACGATTTGGTCACTTATGGATGACCATACCGTGAAATCGTCAAGCATAACGATAAGATCATGCACCGTTGACCAAATCGTAAAATCATCAATATCTAACGATTTGGTCAACTATGACTGACCACATCGTGAAATCGTTAACGTCTAACGATTTGGTCATCCACGATTCACCATAACGTTAAATCGTCAACGTTTAACCATTTGATCATTTTCGATTGACCGTATCGTGAAATCGTCAACATCTTACGATTTGGTCAACTACAATTCACCGTATCGTGAAATTGTCAACGTATAACGAGTTGGTCAGTGACGAATGACCATATCGTGAAACCGTTAACGTCTAACGATTTGGTCACTTATGGATGACCATACCGTGAAATCGTCAAGCATAACGATATGATCATGCACGGTTGACCCAATCGTAAAATCATCAATGTCTAACGATTTG